CAGGATTGTTTAAGTACAATTTTATTGGATATCAGTTTAAGAAAGTGACTTTTACCTTTTAGGGAATGTATTACATTGGTTAAGGTTAAATAATAGACTTGTGGCCATTTTCTTTCGCGTCCTGAGTAATAGTCCTATGAAATATTAAAAGAATCAGCTATTCTTATCTTTGCATTTAATTTTTATGCCTTTATTTTGTCTTTGCTTCTCCCCCCTCCCTCGCACACACACGCACACGCACTCGCTGTCTCTCTTTAATTCTCTAAGTAACACGATTGACTAGTAGAGTATGTGTGAAAACCCTTGAACTCTTAAGCATTTGAGCATCATTGATTACCATTGCATCTGTACATTAAAAATTGCTTAATGTTCTCTGCAATAATAATCCTAATCTATTGTACTGTGAAATATCTCTCTTGGTGTATTGCTTTACAATGCCTCTATTTCTATTATGTAGTATTTTTGGTAATTCTTTAGCATTTGCAGTACTCAGTAGAAGAAAAAAAATCACACCAATTGTAACTTACCTAACTGTTTTGGCAGTAGCAGACGTTTTAACAGTGAGTTTTGGAGCTCTAGAAACATTTATAAGAGGTTTAACAAACGATACAGTCTATTTGAGATTTTATGTGAATCGCTTTGGATTTACTGAACCATATTATATTGCTTCATATGTTTCAGGTTGGATGATTGTATGCATTGCAGTTGATAGGATGGTTGCAGTTACATTCCCATATTTTAGAAGAACAGTAAGATGCTCTAAAATTGTTGTCTTCGTTATTATTTTATTGACAGTATTGGTGTTCGTTTGCTTCAAAATAACTGAACCAGTTATTGATAATTTTTGAAGAAAGAGATGCCACTACAATAAACGCAATGACTATATAACTACAAATAGATATTGGTGTGTAGTTGATGCTCTTGTCTGCTCAATACTACCAAATCTCGCCATTATACCATCTACAATTGTTAATATACATAAATTAGACGCTCAATGGAAAGTGAGACAACATCTTCTTTCTTCCAATAAATCGAGCAAGGCTCTTGTTTGTACTTTAAATATTGGTGTTGAACGAAAATTAGGTCAATGCGAGAAAACGACGCCATATAGAAAAGTTAACATTATGTTAATAAGTGTTTGCACTATTTACGCAACATGTACAATCGTATTCTGCCTATTTGAAATTCTCGAGTATACTCTCAGCGCTAAATACAAACCATTTATGCGATTAGGTACATTGGTTGGTGAGAATCTACTATTCCTTAATCATTCCATAAATTGGCTTGTCTATTGTATAACTGATCCAATTTTACAATATTGATTTATTGTTACTATATATATTTTTAAGCTCAGTTCTTTTTCAAATCTTTATTAGTTTATTATGACCTATTTAATTTTTGATTTTTTGGTATGGTTGCCAATATTTCTTTATTATTTAATGGTTTTATTGCCTCTTTAAAAGTGTATATTCTATCATAGAAAGTTCCCGGAAAATATATGATATTATTGCATTTGGGAGAAACTGTAAGCCTATGATATGTTTTGGTATTTTAATCATATTTCGAAGAGAATACTTTTGGCTTAATTGTAACTGGGAATTTGAGTTTAATTATCGTTATTTGTCAACTTTATTAATATAATGCGTAAAAGTTTATACCAATAATTATTATGATAGAATAATTTTTGGCTCTGATCAAAGAATTAAGAAAGAAGCTTCAAGTGAGGCACAATGTTTTGGGCATAAATGCCTTAAAGTGGGCCAAAATGTCTCCAAATTGGACGAAATGTTCTGACCCCATTATTTTGTAGGATAGATGACTTGTGAAACGTTGGGGAAAATTATAGAAATATGCCTTTGTTTTAATCATGAGAGTTTCACTGTTTTGACTGCTATTAAGTAATTGTTACACAAATCATGACTATCACAAATACTCATTCTATTTTATTTATACATTTTCTAAATAGTTTATAGAGCATTGGAATTCTGACAGACAAATTGTTTCAACTTATTAGTCAAACTGAAGTATCATATACAAATGAGAGAGCTGACAAGATGAAATAAAAACCAACTTTAGGTTGACCTGGATATCTCTAGGTCATCTCTTCAGTACAAGAAGGGAAGACCATCAAAATTAAACAAAAGAACAAAATCCCTTATCAGAAGAGAATGTGCAAGACTTCAAGGAAGAAAAGAGTTAGCAAAATTGAGACTTGAACGTCTCAAAAACAACCATCCAGAGGATTCTAAATGAATAGGGATCAAGCTGTCTAGCTATTTCAAAAGCTTGTCCTCTATCAGCAAGTGCTAAAAGTACTAGAATATCTGTAGTAGGTGGATGGGTTCAACAGCAAACTAATAACAATAAAGTCATCTTCATTGATGAATCTAGATTTTCCCTAGGTGGCCCAGACCACCTACTAACATAGCAGTTAGATGACAGAGCAAGACTGTCTAGGGATAGGCTTCCTGTTGGTTGAGGAGGAGGGATGATACGGGGGTGTATATCCTCAGATCGTGAAGTTTTCATCCAAAGACTTCCCTCTTACATCTCTGGAGAATTTTACACGAAATTCATTCAAGGAAAAAATTTTTTTTAATTGTTGAGGGAAAATTTTGGTGAAGACTTCATCTGGCAGCAGGATAGTGCACTTGTTTTTCATGTTTTGAACTGCAGTTACAGTTAAAGATTTTTGCAATCTTTCGAATTCTTAGTTCTGGTCTTGCTAAATTGTCAAAAATTTAAATTTGGACTTCTTTGGATAAATGACGCATATTTAAATAAATACAAAAGAAATCGCAGGTTCTACATTCTTATTAGAACAAGAGAACAATTTTTATAGGCCAATTATATTTTCGATGACACAACTCCTAATTGTAAGGTCATAGTGACAATGTTACAATTTACTTAATAACTTGTGGATAATTGAAGAAATGTTAACATTTTTACTTATTTTAAAGAGACGCCTATGCAGATTTTTATTGCCGGACCTAAGAATATAAAAGCTGTTGTAAAGGTATTTTCAAGTCTTTTAGCCTCCATCAAAACCTAACCTTCCCTAAGCCATCTAGATGAACATTTTCTCCTGTTAATTGAAGAGTATTTTCTTGGATGAGCAATCAAGTAAATCTGTTTGTCAATTTTGTGAATAATTGTCATTATACTAATCAATATCTTTTGAATTTTGAATGTTGAACAACAAAACTGTTACTGATGTACATTTAAAGACTAATGAAGTTTATACTGAAAATATTTTCAGGATATCCCATTATTTACTCTAGAATCTGAACCAACTCTTAGTATTATTTTAATAAATCAGTTTTAATAAAACTTTTATAATATTAAAAAGGTAGAAATTGTCTATTTATGAAATTGATCATTAATAGACTTTTCTCATTGGTTTAGCTTTTACTTTTTATTAAGGAGATTACAGTAAAGAATTCACTGAAGTGATCAAAGTGAAGGATGGCTTTATTCATTTTTAATTTTTGGTGTGATCACCTTTTTTATTAGTTTTACCATGTTTCTAATTTATCTACAGTTGTTCTTCATTGTCAAGAGATCAATTACAAGTGGAAGAGTATTAAATCAAAACAAAACAGAATATTCAGTTTAACAAAGGTTTTATTAATTTTTTGAACATCAGCTGTTCAATTTTGTGTTCTTTTGTGCAGACAAGACGAAATACAGGTATTAATTGTAAAAAGAGAAGAAAACTGTAAGCTACATAATTATAGCCGTAACACATTAAAGCTCGTGTTAACATGTTACCATCTCCAATATTTCTATTCCAAAGGAAATCTGCTCTTTTCACTTTTGAACAAATGATTAAAAGATTTCTAATCGACATGCATTGTCTCTTTCCTAAATTGCAATTTTGAAAAATGATATTCTTTACATTAAACGATGACTTTTCGAGAGCTTTACAAATTTTTGATAATCCATCTCCCATATTCTTATTTCCAGAGAGAATAATAGTTTTAATTTGACAACAATCCAGCAAAAGATTTCTAATAGAATCGCAATGTTTATCATTTAAATAGCAATTTTGAAAATTGTCTTATATACAACCCCTTATCAGTTGTTTGTGCCATTGGTGTCAACAACAAGGGTCTAACTCCAGATAAGGGTTGTTCACAACAAACAGGGTCAAGGGTTATCATATTATGCAATAGTGATGTAAACAACAACAACTTTGTGTAGGTAAACACTTAAGGGTCAATTGTTACATCATATTTATGTAAATAAACACTTGGTGTTGTTGTCAACATGTTTGGTTATGTAATATCTTATCTTTTGCCTATAAAAGGGCTTGATTCTGGTAGTTGAGTACCATCTACCCTAATACTTCTATGATATGGTAAGTATCATTCATATCATATATATTAACTATGGTGCATAAGTGTACAATCACTATAAAACTATTCCAAGAAGAGACTAAAAAAAAGGAATTCTTTCTAATCACATGATTTCATGGAATTTGGACAAAATCTAACAAATTTGATTGGAAACTATCCAGATGGAATGCTAGTTTTCAGACTTGAACAGTAATATCATTTATTACAAGTGATTGGTGTTATTAATAAAATGAATGAATCTAAACCCAAACAACTACTTTAGTGCACACCACCATTTGCTTTTGAAATATACATGGAATTATTTAAAGAAACAGGAATATTATAGAAAATGTATCATAATCTGGTTAACATTAATAAATTCAAATCTGATTTCAAGTAAATTATAAACTGGTATACATTTAAAAGTTAATTTTAAATATTTAAACAATTGACACATTTTAAAAATATTATCACCTTGCAAAGTTTCTTTTGTATAAACTAAAATTTCTTCAGAATAGGTTATTCCTTCAATAATAAAAAAAAAGTATTCTTTAACATTATAATTATAATTTGAGATATTGAATGTTAATTTAATTGGTGTTTGGCCGCATTTATCAATTCTTTCTATACAATAAAAACAAAAGAAACGTATTGGTAAAATGTCTATTTTTCAGTGTTAGGGTTAGGGTTAGGGTTAACCCTAATGTTATAATATAACCAACCGATAAAAGAGAATTTTGGAATTAAAAGTAGGTCAATCTCATTCAAACCATGTAGTTTTTGTGAATACATATAGAGATAATCAATGAGTTCCAGTGGGAATTTCATACAGTAGGTATGAGTATTTTTATACTTTATAGTAATAGAATGAACGTTATAACCTCGATTTTCTAGTAAATTTCTCATGACAGTAGTAAACGTAGCAATTGAATTACTGACAACTGCAATATTGAATACTTTTAATAAAGACAAACCTAAAAGAATAAAGCTTTGTTTACAAACCAGCCAAACAAATTGAATTGATAAACATTATACCATTAGGAAAGATTCGTAGATTTTCCATAGGTTCAAACCAAAATGTGTCATTCTTGTAATAAATATCATCAGTTAATGAATTCAATGTAAGAGTGTCCACAGCAGTATTGTTATAGAACATAGCTTTAATTCTATTTTTAGAATTTATGGTAATAACTAAATTTAGTTTTAAAATAAAAATTGTAAAAGTATAATGTAAATTTTGAATTTGAATACTTTTGCATTACATTTTTTAGTAGAATTTGAAAAAGTTGAAGACAATGTAAATATAAATAATTCAGATATTTCTAAAATTGATTTAATCTCAGAATTTTGTGAATATTTTAAAACATTTACAAATTGTCCATTATATAATCCTTTACAAACTATTGTATGACTTTGATAGATAGCTGTTTGCGGTTTACTATTATAATTTCTTATACAGTATTGAATATTTGAAGAAAAGCCAGTTTCCTGTAAGGAATTTATTGTAATATACATTTTTTTTAAAATTTTGTAACTTTGCAAATCTGTTATTTTTTTTAAATATTTAAAAAAAAGAAAAATTTTATAGTAAAATATTTTGATCTACCGAATTTTTCAGTATAGATGACTAAACTGTAAACTATTAGTGACTTTGCCATATCAATTAGAAGGTATGATTGAATATTTTCAACAGCAACATCTATTATCGAAAGAAATTTTGTTGAATAATTTCTGTCGTATGCATTCTCTTTGAAAAAATTCAAATGTTGTCCTCCACTTTCAGTTCTTTTAATATCATAAAAATTCAATAAATTGAATTCTAATAGGAAAACAAAAAAGTTTTTTTTTTTTGTACTTTTGAATAATTAAAAAAGATTTCATTACTTGAATTTCTGAAATATTTTCCAGAGATAATTACATCACAAATTATTAATGATGTATTTGGTGTTGTTAATTCTATTTTAACAATTGATCCAACTGTGCTATTTATGTTATAGCAGCTATAATCATCAATATCAACTGAAATTGGCCTGTTTACTTGTCCTTGAAAGTATTTCGAAATTCCTGTATTATCATCCAAATCATTGAAAATTGAAATTGTAAACTTTTGTAGTTTCAAATCTAAAAAAGAAAACAAATCAAAATTTGCTTTGAAACACAACCAAACAACAAAACTTACATTCCTCATCACTGTCTATATTCAGCAAGCAAATTTCAGTAATTTCATAAACACTAGCCAAATCAATTGACCACCATGACGTACTTTCCGGTTGTTCAGCAGTTTTTGAACATTTAAAATATTTCTGTTCGAAAGAAAAAACAAAATTTAAAATTTAAAGTTTAAATAAAACAGAAAGGAAACCAACATCCTTATCACCAATTTCAATGTGTTCATCATTTGCATATTCTGGTTTATATAGATGATTATTGAAAAATGCAATAGAGCTTTGAAAAGATTGCTTTCCTCTTGCCAAATTACTTTTTATGATATTTAAATTTGAATCTGAAACAAGTAAGATACAAACAATTAAAAAGTAGAAGACAATTTAAAATTTGTACTTAACATGTCATAATTGTCAGATAAACAAAATGTAACAAATTCATATTTCAGAAGTTAAAATTTCCTTTTTTTCAAGTTTTCACTCAGTTTAAAAGTATGAGATGATACTTTTATATTAAATTTTTGTTCAATATCTGTTTTTAATGGAATACAAATAAAAAACAAGATATAAATATTTTATCATTCACTTAAAATGTTCAATTATCTACAATTTTTAAAAGTAACCAAGCAAATTGTTAAGTAAATGTGCTGGTCTTCTTTTTATTTGGATATTTTAACATATCAACTATATGGGGAAAACTTTTCATGAGCATGATGCATTAAATCAATGGAAGAAAAAGACGCCAACTAAAGATTAGGTGCAGCTTAGGGCTGGGTTAGGGTTAGGGTAAAAACATGGATTCATGAACATTTTCTGTCGTATCCTAGCAAATTACTCATTTCAAAGAAAGTAATTTTCATTACAAAAGAGAAATTTGTAAAAACGTGAAAGAATTATCTTAAAAAAAATCTATCTAGTCTGGTATAGAAAAATATCATGCAAAATAGATCCTCTATGATCTTGAATCAAAGAGGGCTTCTTCCACCTATAAACACATTTCATCTGCACCTGTTGAAAATGGTAAAAATGGCTAAACCAGCTGAGAAACTTTTGAAAATTGTGAACTGTTAACACTACACAATTGAGCAGTTGTTAGCCTATTCAATACACATCTTATATGGAAAAAATACTGGTGTTCAATGTAACCCTTTGGACAAATATCATTTATATTCTTATACTTGTGGATGAATGTACTTTTGTTGTTTTGTAATTAAAGAAACTTTTGACTCTAACAACAGAAATTGTCCTTTCTAATCATTTACCATTGAAAGACAGACAGTTGCATGACATTTCTAACCCATAATCCTTAAACTTAAAAAAAAAGAATCAACCAGCTGATGGTTAGAGAACTGAACTTTTCCAATAGTTGACGATTCACAGATAAAATATGCACACAAAGAAATGTAACAATGTGGATAAAGGAAAAGTTCAAATATACTTCCATATTTGTTACTTTTTCTTTATCTTGGAGAACTGCTGCTCCCTATTTTTAGTAGGTCAGAAAGTTGCATAAGATGTAACAATTTTAGGTGTATTGTGTGAATGTATGAGCTTGGTTGTAAGCTTATGAGTACAGCATATGCTAACAGTCTAAATGTGTACAGTCTAAATATCAATATACCATTATTTCTAACTAAACAATGAACTTGAGGAAAGAAATTCCTATGGTGAAGATAGAACAAACTAGTTGAAAAATGCAGAACCTGCTAATAGAATAATTAATACAAATAATTCTATAAATTTATTGATAAATATTTGTAAGAGAAATATCAAAATTTACATGACCAGTAGACAGTAGTACAGTGATTGCTTAGACTGGAAATTTCTTTAACTGTCACAATGACAACTATTGCTTTTGTTAAAGTAAATTTCTAATTTTATCATTAGTACCTTGCTATAGAAATTCGAATTAATTGAAAAATTGATTTTCCCTTCTATACAGTTTTTGAATAGTGTCATATTATCAATTAATTGATAAGTAACAAAAAAATTCAGAGAAAGTAATATTTTACAGTTTTATTGATCCAATGAATGTACTTAATATAATATTTGTGTTCTCTCTGTAAAATATCATAAAAGATAGTCTTCAACCTGTCAATGTAAAATAATCTGAAGACTTTTCTTTTTGTTCATAATTTTTCAAAACTAAAATATTTGCCTATTAAGCCTTACATCTATATAAAATATGAATTACTAGATATTTGGTGATTCTTGTGGGATGAAAACAAAGATGAAACAGTAATGATATAGTAATAAATGATAAATGATAAAAGAAATAGGAGTATTACCTTTATCAATTGTGAATTCAATTGAGTAAATTCTGTTTAGAAATTGTGAATTTCCACAATTTAGTTCAAAACCGACATATACATTTTCATAAAAGACATCCTCAGAGTATACCTATTGGTATTACAGTTGAAAAAATTTGAATATTAACATTATTATCTATTCAAAAATTCTCTTACTGAAGGATAGTCAGTTTGAGCATAATCATTTGCTATAATATGCATATGGTTCTTCTTATGAATAACACTGTAGACATCATCCTTTTCTATAGGCAAAGGCTTCAAGAGAGTTACAGTTTTCTCTGTTAATGCTGTTCCACTTTCTATTTGAATTATATGGAGCAATTTGAATTTAAGAGGATTGACTTGGTCTGGAACTGGTCTCCAAATTCCAATAAAACCTATTCCAGTTACTTTTCGAAATATTTTGAAGCTTACTATATATCCAGGGCAAGGGAAACTTGGATGTAAAATTAGATTTAAGTAATCTCCTCCACCATTTGGCCTATTTATAGTAGGTGAACCAAATGTACTTTTGGTGTTATTACAAACCTTTGGAGGTTCTATTTTAAGTAAACCAAAACTGGTATTATTTCCTGTTGCAATTAATAAAAAAAAAGATTTTGCTCACTATTTCCTTCTGCTGAAATTTCAAAGTTTATAGCATAGTATCTAGGATTGCTTAATGAAGGAATTTTCAAAGCTCGACCAATAGGCAGTTCTTTTGTTTCATAACTCAGAAAAGCTCCCTAAATGTATAAATACATGATATGTCAAAAGATAAAAATAGACAAATGATTAGATATTTACATCATAAAGTAACCATAGGATCACTCGCATTTTTGCTGTGTCTGATGTTACTTTTGTGATTTTTCCAATAATCAAATCCAATTGAATAATTTGCTTTCACAAAAATTCGTTGAGTAACATTAAATACTCGAATTCCTGAAGTTGTTGATCCAGGAATTTTAATTTTGCTCCTACAAATATAGGTCAATGGACTTGAGTATAATCTCTCCCATATTCCAACATTCAATGGAAAATTTTTACCCAAACTATCAAAAATGACTGCCTTTATATATCCATCGCAAGGGAATTTAAATCCTACAACTATATTAAGTGCACCATTTCCACTAATAGTAACTGTAAATAAATATCTAGTTTTTCCATAATAAAGAATTCTTGTTCCATAATTCTTCCATTAAATTGAATATTCAGTTTTGTTTTTCCTTTTGTCTTTAAAGCATTTCCCTCTGCTGAAGTGATGATTGGTAAGCCAGTAGTTTCTTTCTTGATGAATTTAGAATCCATTAACCTGATTTCTTTTTCTGTAATAAATGACAAAAGTGCTCCTGAATCACATAAAGCAATAACCTCTCTTCCATTATGATTTTTCATTCGAAATTGGAAATCTTTTCTGCCTTTTACCAAAGAAGTACACTTAAAATGTGCGATTTTCTCTTCTTTGAGATTAAATATTGCCATTCTTCCTTTAGAAATTTCAGTTTCATTAGGTTCATCAGGTCCAACATGTATTAGTCTGTTAAAGCTGCCTTTTTCATTATTTCCTGCATTTCCATTTCTTTGTTGTTGAAATCTATTTTGAGAAAAAGGTTTAAATGTATGTTCATTTTGATTTGAGTTACTCTGATTGTTGTCAAATCTCCTTTTGTACTGTTTGAATTCATTTTCGCTTTCTTTTCTTGCATTATCAAAAAATATTTCTGCTCTTTTTGCCAATTTAATATACTGATTAACTGAGTTAATCTTTCCATCTTTTTCCACATGATTAACAATTTTTCCTTTAAGACCATTCCTGAATACAGTTAACAGTTGAAGTTCTCTAACTCTTTCAGTAACACAAGCCATTTCAGTAGTATTGAATGGTAGGAATTTTTCCACAAGTTCTTTACTTCTTCTAACAAAACTTTGGACAGTTTCATCATTGAACTGTCTCAATCTATCAATTTCTTTTTTGTAAGCCATAGGATCTGGATTAAATTCTTCATCCAATGCATCCCAAATTTCATTTTCATTTGCCATGGAGGGTAAACTTTCAATAACATCTCTGGCTCTTCCAGTAGTGTATTTTCTCAGCATTCGAACTCTTTTCTCTTCTGTATCCCAAAGGTTTAATTCACAAGCTGTTTGAAAGTTCCTCTTAAAGGCCCAAGTATCTTTGCTACCAGAATAGGGTCTCAGTAAAGTAGTATTAGGTTTCTCATTAGCATCAATTAGAAGACTTGCAATTGTCTTTTCCAAAGCATTATCTTGAATGCCATCATAACTGAATTTTGGTTGAGTAGGATCAGGATTAACCATACCTTCAGGAATTGTAGCTGCCCCAGTCATCAAATGGTACTTTAAAAAGCTATTACCATCAACTTTGGCTCCACTACTTTTAATTCTCAACATTAATTCATTAATTTTTGAAAGATACTCATCTACTTCCTTGGCTCTGGCTTTGTCATTCTCATAAACCAAAATAACATTCATTGAAGTAGCATTGTGGGCTGTCGACTGCGCCATATTTGTACTTTGTTGTATTGTAATTGTAGGAATTTCTGGTTCGTCACAACTGTAATCGTCCTTTCCAATCATTTACCAACTTGCCAAAGTACTGGTCCAAATAGAACCTTTAAAGTTCGTCCACAAATAGTCTAACAAAGGCAATTTCGGTAGAAATTGATTAACAAAACACCAGTATTTCGTCCAAAGAATATGTATTGAGTAAAATGAGCTTCTAGTTCTAAACAAGCTAGTTTAAACAACTAGCTGACGGTTAGAAAACTGAACTATCAACTGTTAATTTCGTAGGGTTTATATACTCTTTTAAGGGTTGATAGTTCACAAATTTCAATGTTCACAAAAACAAAAGTAACATTTGAAGACAAAGAAAAGTTCTAAATATGGTCATGTTTTTATTGTTTTCCTCTTCTAAATAATAGTTGAATTTCGAAGGTTGGAGAGTTGCATAAGATGTAACAATTTTAGTAGGACAAGTCCAACAATCAAGAAAACATGTAGATTGTATATTTGACCGTTTTTATATTCTACCTTAATAATGATATTCAATTGATTGAGTTAGTAAATTTAGCATCAGCATATAAGGAGGAAGTATATCTGATTAATGCATGTTAAAAAGAACAGTATTGTGTATACAATACTGTTGAATAGTGAATATAATCTAACCTTAGAATTTAAGCATAATTGATAATTAATTGAACTAGTTTTAGTTCGAAATCATAAATTTATGGATTAATAAATTGTAATATTAATGCTAGGTTGCAAATAGCAAATATTCTTTATATAATTCAATAGGTTTTATTACTGCATAATGTGTATGCACTGCCCTATGCGAAACTAGGTCACTACTGCTTATCTTTATCAGTGCTATCTGCATAGTACAATACTGGTTCAATACTACTTCTCTATTGTAGAATATAGCTGACGAATGTATGTGTACAGGCTTTGTATTCTTTTGATATCAAGTACTCTGTGCTGTAATTAGACACAAATGGTAAATCTTCCAAACAGGGAGAATAGCAATCTTCGCAATATAGAGAAGCCTTTAACACAACTCTTCAATGTCTGCTCTAAACTTCCATTGAATATCTGCATAGACTCGGATACAAAGAGAACCCTTTCTGCTCATATAATACTCAAGTGCCTTGAAACATTTTATAATGAAGTATTTAAGATATTCAATTTTTTTCCTTTTTGAATTGTCATTGAAATCTCTCATCTTTTATTGAACAGTGTAATTTTCTTAAAGAGTTTCTTCCCCCTGTGATTGAAACTATTGAGAAGCTGAAAGATCAAGATGATGATATTGAGATTCAGGTACTTTTTCTCTTCTATCTCTTTCAAGACACCTTTTTTCCAACACCAATTAGTAAGTAATGATATTCTTATGGTTAAAGGTGTCAGCTGACAATGTCTATTCAACTTATGAATTAACGGTTAAGAAGAAAGGCAATGCTGAAAGACAACTTGTTGACAATTTTTTAGCTGGTGACGGGACCAGTCTAGGTAGATATTTTATTGAAATAGTGATATTCTTCATATTTCCCATTTGACAGCCAAAATCCTTGAAATGTATCCAAGACAATCAAGCTATGTTCATACAAATTTTCAAACTATACTGGCAACTGTAAAAAACCTGCCCAATCACACAATATTCCAATTTATGGAACTAGTTGAAAAAATAATAGAACACAATCCTAGTATAATAGATGAGGAATTTCTGGAATATACATTGGAGAATTTAGAAGGAGAAAATTCAAATTTCGTTTTAAATGTTACGTACAGCCTCATGTCAAACAGGAAAGATTTGTTTGTCAATTATCACAAAAGACTTGCCAACTTCATAAAAAGCTCTCACCCAAATAGTATTTTTGTTGTCAGTAACCTGCCTCAATTGGCTGAAACAGAGGAATTGGCAACATTTTATACAAATTTGATTTGGGAAATTTTCTACAAAGTGAAAACTGAGCACCGCTCCTTTCTATTATCAGCTTTACAAGGTATTGTTTGTAAATTTAAACAACCTGTTGCTATTTACAAAGATGAACTGCTGAAACTCAAAGATGGTCCAATGGTTGATCAAGTTCAATACATTATTAATGTTATTGAAGGGAGGAGTCTAGAGGGCATTGCAAACATTTTAGATGATCACCAAGATGAATTGGAAAATCTTGATGTTAGAGTCACGGATAACAGTGGTAAGATAGTTGAACTTGACAGCGATCTGGTAAAGACTAAAGAAAAGATTGAAAATGTAAAAGAAGATTTGGAAATGATGAAAAATCAAGTTCAAAAGATTGAATATAATATTGAAAATCTTGATGAACGAGTAGAAAAACTTAGTCATATGACTCTCAGCCATGCTCCTTCTTGGTCCCGTCACCTTTCTGACCTTATGAATAAACCAAGTGACAATGATTGGAGACTACTGGCATTAAAACTCAATTATAGCGTTGATGATGTCAGAAATTGGGCTACTCAACCTGATCCGTGTCTTTCCCTAATTGATGAATGGTTTGCCACTAATAATACAAAGGAGGCAACATTTGCAATCTTAAAGAATTTGAAAGATATGAATAGACTTGATGCGGCTGAGATTGTTGAAAATGCCCTTGAATCTGTAAAATCCATCATTGAAGATAAAAAAGTTGAAATGATAGAAAAACCAAAAGTGTTTATCAGCTATCAATGGGGTCATCAGGAGGAGGTCAAACTACTTTGCAAACATTTGGAGCAAGCTGGCTTCAAAGCTTGGATGGATATTGGTCAAATGGGTGGAGGCGATAGCCTATTCCAGAAGATAGACGATGGAATTAGGTCTGCTCAAGTCATTCTGAGTTGTGTAAGTTTAAAATACGCAAAATCAACAAATTGTTGCCGCGAAATTAATCTCTCAGCCAATCTTGGAAAAGCAATTATTCCCTTACTAATGGAAGATTTATCTTGGCCACCTAGCGGACCTTTGGGTCCCATTTTAGCTGAATATTTATATATCAAATTCTATCAAAAAAATGAAAAAAATAACAATCAAAACATTTTCTGGCATCCAGAAAAATTCCAAGAACTTTTAATGCAACTTCGCTTTCATTTAGAGCCTAATATGGAATTAATCAAAAAAGGTTCTCCCTACTTTGGTTGGACAAAGCATCTAAAAAAGGAGCAACACTCCAATGAATCCGAAATGCTAAAAGGAAACTCTCCACCTCTCTTTATTTCCTATCAATGGGATAATCAAAAATTAGTTACAACTCTGTGTAGAAGCCTTTTGGAAAAGGGATTTGAATGTTGGCTTGATATTGCTCAAATGGGTGGAGGTGATTCACTTTTTGATAAAATTGACAATGGAGTAAGGAGAGCAAAACTTATCATATCTTGTGTTACTCAAAAGTATTCTCAAAGTGTCAACTGTAAAAGAGAAATTGGCTTATCATCGGAATTAGGAAAACCAATTGTTCCTGTACTTTTAGAGAATATAAAATGGCCACCCGAAGGACCAATGTCAAAGGCTTTTACAGATTTAAAGTATATTAATTTTTCAACAGTAAATGACAGAAATATTGGTGACAGTGATGAATTTATGCAGTTACTTCATACAATTGATTTTCAACTAAAAGCTCAAAGGAGAGATGCTCTTTCTAAAAAAAACAAACAATCTGAAGAGGAAAAACAGCAAGATAATAAACTAGGTGAAAATAAAGAAGAGATGACACAGAGAAAAGGGGAAAACCATGATAATGAAAGAATGAAGCAGGCATCAATGGAAAACAAATTACACACAGAAGAAGAGAAGAATAGAGAATTTGAAGAAAAATTAAAAAGCAGGGAAAATATGATAAAGCAACTGCGAGAGGAAGTATTGGAAGTAAAACAGAACAATAAAGATATAGACAAGGAGCTAAACAAGGCACGGTTGAGATGGCATCTAGAAGAAGAAAGAAAAAGAATTGCACAGTTAAGAAAGGAAAAGGAGAATCCAACTAAAGAAATTAAAAAATCATCAACTTGTCTACTCTTATGAGGAAAAACAAGGTAATTTTATTTTAACATGTTTCCCGAAGTAAACCTGAAAATGTCCAGAATCTTTTGCACATCAATTTAAATGTTTAATGTATATGTTTCAATAATAAAATGTCAATTCAAAAAGTTTACCAGTTTTCTCTTGCAAAATGCATACTTCACTGACTTTAAAAGTTTCTGATTGGTGTCTTTATATTCACAAATATTCAATATGTTTTCTATCAGTTTATATTTATTATTTTCTATATTCAAAAATAGGTCTCTGGCCATTTTCAATCAGGGTTCTGGCTGTTTTCAGCCCACCTCTAATAGTTATCAATCATCCAAAGATTCAAAGATCCATCACATTCACAACTTCATAGATGGAGCCACTTCAGTGTTAAGAGAATTCAACAGATTGTTATCTAAATTTGCAATATTTGTGCAGTAATGAATGTATAGATAAGCAGGGAAATTGTTTCTTTAACTTCTATTGGAACATTTATCACAAGTAACCTTCACCTTTGGATTGAAATCATCTATTTTATTGTAGAGAATATTAACTATATCATTTGGCCTATTTATCGATGAGTTTCATGATTATTGGTAATTCAATCAAATGATTCCAATCAACATGTTTGGTAAAACGGATCAAAAATTCTTTTGCAATCACTCTTATTGATTGGTGGAGAAAAGTATGAAAAAAGTTCAAGGTAGTTGTGCAACAGTGCTCACCATTCCTTTCAGACAAGTTTCAAATCCACCTCCACTATTGACCAAGCCAACCACTTCAACCATTCTCCAGCCAGTGGATACTGTGCTTCCTCCAAAGTAATGCATATCTTTGACATTCCTTTGCCATTTGAAAAGTGGCTCCATCTGTCATATCTATTTAATAAAATACTTCATCAATTATTAATTGATCTGAAGCCAAATATTAACCAAAAGACAGTTGTACAACTAATAAAAGTTTGTTTAAATGTTTCTTTGTCCAAGAATATCATGTGTAAAAAATTCAAATTCAAATTTAGGCAGTTGTACAGTATTCTGAATCTGATATGTCAGACTGACGATGACTCATCAAACAGGCTTAAGTGGGATACAACAGAAAACGTCCACAAACCATGGCTTTTATCCTAATCCTAATCCAGTGCTTGACTTTACCTAACCTTTGTTCATTATCCCTAATCCTTGGAGGAGACCATCCTAAGTACAAATCAGTTGCTGTCTTCATCTTTTCAATGCAAAATCTACCCTTGAAATTTCAAATATGTGAAAGTTTTCTGTTGACATTCATTATCCATTTTCTATATTCTCAAGTAGAAATCAATCAAGTTTGTAGAATGTTAAAACTAATGAAAAACCAATCAACCAATCTATTATAAAATTCATTGGTTTAAAAGAATAGGCCTAGATTGTATTTTTTACTATAACCCATTGTTTGTCTCTTCTGGAAATTTTCTAGTCTTTGTCAAATTGGAGAGGAAAAGTGGAAAAAAAACTGGTTAAATTACTTTTTAATTTTTTTAAAGTCCTATAGATGGCGTTACCATTCCAAATTGTGATAAAAAAATTAAAACTAGACAATAATGTAAAAGTTGCTAGTGTTTAATCAATACATAGAAATAGTCAACACTTGTTGTTGCTGTTGTTAGATGAGTTTTAATCTTCAAATGTTTCTGATAACAGAGAGAGAGAGAGAGAATGTTAAAGGAAAAAGAGCCAAATTTGAATTAAATAAATAGAAATAAGTATTAGGCATAGTTTTTACATTAAATCTTCTATGCAATCCCTAAACATCATTGTTGTAATGTTGAATTGACAATGAAGGGCTTGTCTTCTAGAGAGGAACACGTCATTTTAAATAAATAAATGACCTATGCCCACATTGAAAGGTGAAAAACAACATGCAACAGTAGAATGAAACCTTGGTTTGCCCACAATCACAAAAAGACATTGGACAACATATAAAGCAACCTATAAACACAAAGGATGTCATACTACTTACAACTGAACTATTAAACTCTTAGGAAAGTATGTAAACTCTATGAATTTAACAGTTGTGAGCCTAGTTACCTGACCTGTTGCTTGGGGATAAAAGTTCAGAATATTCAATACACATCTTATTTAGAGAATACAGTAGGTTCTATTTAGACCAGTAGTTTGGCCTGCTATCAGATAAACAATACAGACAATTTCAGTTGTGACAAGAATAAAATTCCAAAACTCCAAAAAATGTGTATTAGAAATATTGTTTGAATTTGAAATGGTAAATTTCAAGCATACCAAAAACAAATTTTATACACCTTCTTTGTAATGGAAAGATATTTGTATGTTTATTGATATATTCCAATAGATTAATATCAAACTTCAAAATAAATTGATTAATATAGCAATAGCAAGTGGCAATGTGAAAATCAATCACATGATGCATTTGCATTTAATATAAAGAAAAGAAGTAAGAATATGATAATTTGGAGATCTACTGTCAGAAATAAACAGTCAAATGAGAAGGAAATGTATTTGTCCCAAGTTATCTAAATCACAATCATGACAAAAGTTAAATATCTTAGAAATATTCATTGACATATATTGTACACTTATGAACTATAGACAATAGATATGATATTAATGGTACTTACAACATGATGCTAGAAGTAGTGGAGTAGATGTTGCCTCTAGGGTAGATGGTACCAAACTACCAGAATCAAGCCCTTTTATAGGCAAAAGATAAGATATTACATAACCAAACATGTTGACAACAACACCAAGTGTTTATTTACATAAATATGATGTAACAATTGACCCTTAAGGGTTTACCTACACAAAGTTGTTGTTGTTTACATCACTATTGCATAATATGATAACCCTTGACCCTGTTTGTTGTGAATAATCCTTATCTGAAGTTAGACCCTTGTTGTTAACACCAATGGCACAAACAACTGATAAGGAATTGTATATAAGACAGGGCATAGGTAGTAAGAGGCATTCAGTCCTGAATGAACCCTCTTAGTGAACAGGTCTAGTATTACTTTAGAATACAGTTATATTGTTATTATAAATTGGTTCTATATTCATCTTTATTCAATTCTACATCTCTTCTAAGTGGCTGACTCCTAATTCAGTTCTATTTGGACCAGTACTTACCTACAACCCCATAGCAGGAAAGTACAAACTTGGTGCAGTTGACAGGATAATTATCTTTCAAAAATGGCTAGTGCTGGAAGCGAATCCACTGCTAGTAGATCAAGTAAAGATGATAAGAAAATTAGTGAGTACATGCTAAAAGTGGAAGAATATATGGAAGGAATAAGGAATTTGGGTGGATCTCTTGATGGTGATGCTTTCATTGCAAGACATGTGCAGACTGGTTCATTAACTCTTGCTAAGAATTCTGTATATGGAAGTTCATGTAGTTGCAATCAACCATCTGGTAGTTCAAGTGAGCCAATGTCTCAAGAAAGAAATAGGGGACATAGGACAACAGACCAATTGGTAATGTGAATCACTGAATTGGAACATACAATGGCAAATCTACTCTTGGATGCTGGTGAAAGACCTAATACTACATTGTTGAAACCAGATTCAGGAAGAGAGGACACCTGGAATTTTAAAAGGAACTTCAGAACAGCTGCAGAAATAAGTTCATGGAATACTGAAGCAAAAAGAATCAGAATGTTAAGAAAGTACACTGTAGACAAAGCTAGACTGGTTGTTGAAAGACTTCCTCCAGAAGCATCAGAAAGAGACATTTGGGGAGCTCTAGACTTTGAGTTTAATCCACCCTCAAAAGTCTATAAAAAAGAGGTTGACAACTTAAAGCAATTAACTGGTGAAACTGTAACAGGTTTTGCTGAGAGCAAGTGATCTCATTGAGAAATTATTGCCTGGGTCTGCAAATGATAGGCCTGAGGTTATTGAAAAGATAAGAGAACTACAGTTGATAAATTCACTAAGATCTGGCTTGAGGGCTGGTATAGTCAACCATGTGGAAAAACACAGAAATATACAGAGTGCAAAGAGGTATCTAGACTTGGCAAAGGAAGCTGAAGCATATCTTAGTACTCTATGAAAAGAAGAAGAAGAGGAACAACATTGGAAGAAAAATGATTGGAAAACTCACAATCCTCCACAACACAGACACAGTAATCTAGAGAACAAAGGCTACAATCCAAGATATGGCAGAAACCATTATGGAAACAGGAGATCTGAATCAAAGTCAACACTCCACAGAATTACTTTTGAAAAACCTGACAAGCCATCAGATGGAGAAAACACAGCTGGACAAGAAGCAAAGTACCATTTTAGATGTACTTCACAAGTCAAGGGACAAAATGATTTCATGTTCAGATTTGTGAATCCAAAAGGGAGAGAAACTTTGGCTCTTTGTGATTCTGGTACTCTCATGTCCTTCATTACTGAAAAGGAAATACAGTTGCTGGGTGTAAAGGTCCAGATGAAATTACCTCCTGGGTCACCATGTTTCACTACAGCTGATGGTACAAGATTAAACACTCTTGGACACTGTAAATTAAATATTCAGTTTGCTGGTAAGATTCTAGAACAGGAATTTGTGTTTGTAAAAGATCTGGATTTGTCAATACTTCTTGGATCTGATTTTCTTTCAAAAAGTGGTGCAAAGTTGGATTTTGCAACAAAAACTGTATCCCTTCCTTTCTTCATTAGAAATGGTAAGGATGCAAGGGAGGAATTACACATGGAATCTTCTCATAGAGCTGAAGCAGATCAAAGAAGATGAACAAAAACAAGAAGAAACTTTCTGTTAGAATGATTAGGAATGAAAAGAATTCAAGGAATGCAGTGGGGTTAACCAGAATTGAAAAAGAAAGAAGAAAATTGGTAACTATTGTTGAGGAGTTTGAAGAGATTGTGGCAATTTTTGGGACAATTCGGTCTGTTTTGGAACAATTCAGTCTGTTTTTGGGACAATTCAGCCTGTATTTAAATTAAGAATAGTACACTTTTTTTAAAACTCAAACAATATAAAACACCAGTTTATTTCATTATGTAATGGAACTGTTACCAGTTTTTTTGTGTATATTTTATTTCTTTAACTCCAGTGAAAGCTTTTTTGATTTTAAAGAACTAAAAATTGATTATTAATTGATAATATAAAGTGTGAAAAAAGAAAATTCAATTGTACATAATGAATTTAAAAACATGCTGGTTGTGTACAAAGAAATTTTATTGGAATCAACAGAAAGTAAGATGCAAACTTTGCAAGCATTTTTATCATAGAAAGTGTTCCAAAAGTAAGTAAATATTTTTCTTTTCTTTCCTTTTTGTAAAACTTACATATTTTTAATCAGAAAATGATTATTGTGTTGATTGCTTCAATGTTAGAAGACAAAAGTTTTAATTAAGTTAAGAAAAATTGTTGAGAAAAAAAATGAAAGTCATTCAAATGAAAGTCAAAATGAACTGGGTGCTATGAATACTGAACAATTTCATGAAGAAAATCAACAAGTAAATAACTTGTAACTTTTCTCAGTTGAAAAATTGTTAAAATTTTGTTATTTCAGTTGAGACTATCCTTCGATTTTGAAAATTGTATTGAGGATATATCTGAAGAAGAAAATAATAATTCAAATAACTGTGATTGTACTTTGTTCTATTGTAATTGTAGGAAGTCCTAGCTGGTTGCTATCAAATTCGTCCTCTCCAATCATTTACCAATGTGCCAAAGTACTGGTCCAAATAGAACCTTTCAAGTTTGTCCACAAGTAGTCTTAATAAATGTAATTCCAGTAAAAATTAACCAACAAACACCAGTATTTCATTCAAAGAATATGTATTTGAGTAAATGAGTTTCTAGTTCTAAACAAGCAAGTTTGAACAACCAGCTGATGGTTAGAAAACTGAACTGACTACTGTTAAATTCTAAGGGTTTATATACTTTTCCAATAGTTCACAGTTCACAGATAAAAATATTCACACAAACAAATGTAACAATTTGGATAAAGGGAAAGTTCAAATATACTTCCATGTTTGTTACTTTTTCTTTATCTTGGAGATCTTTTGCTCCCTATTTTAGTAGGTCAGAAAGTTGCCTAAGATGTAGCAATTATTAATAGAAGTTGGATTGATTCCAAAACACAAAAATAGGAAAATGTCAACTTGATGCCGTTTTAATATACAACAAATTATTAATAATAATTGTTTGTGTAAGATAATATGTTTCTGTGTAAAGGACTGGTAGGATAAAAGTATTAAACTTAATCATCTAATATAGTATTGTGCATACAATACTGTTCAAAAGTGACAATAATCTAAAAGCTCCAAATATAAATAGAATAGTGGAAGATATAATTAATATTCATTAAATATGATGTGTATAATAATTAGGGTTAACATCTAGTTTAAATAGTGTATGTTGTAGTTTTAGGCATGTAGAGTACTCTATAATACTCTTTCAATATTGCTTTCCATTGATGAATGAAATGTAACAATTTTGGTGTATTGTGTGAATTTGTGAGCCTGGTTATAAGCTTATGTGTTTAGTACCTACGAACTGCCTAAATGTGTACAAACATCCCACTCCTTTAAGACCTTGCTTCCATGAAAGGTCTTGGGCTTGAAACAATCAGTGAGTCACCATCCTTTTTGAATGTTGGATAAGTTTGTAGTGGTATTTCTTCTGGTTCAGCTGTTGGGGCTGTAGGTAACTTTTCTTTTCTAGCTAAAAGCTTAGCTAGCTTGGTGAAGTGTACTCTTTTCCAGTCTTTCTTCCAAAGAAACCAAATCAGAATCACAATTCCAATGATTATTGTTATTGGAAGAAGTATGTTGATGAGTGTTTTGTAAGGTGTCCTGGCCCATGATGAGAATATATGTTCAGTTTTAGACAAAGCAGCATCAATGCCCAAATCATTAGCAAAGTTTATGTGCTCTTTATGTCTTGTTAAAGTGTCTTGAATGTATTCTAAAACTTGTTGAACTTGTTATTGTTTCTTACCAACATCCTCTTTTATACAAAGTTGTATTAACTCAGTAAGTCTAGCAACCTCTAATTTTTGTTCTTCAATTTCATTGCTTATTTTCATTCTGATTGATTGTGCTGCTGCAGTTTGAAATCTGCATCCTTTCTTTGTGTAATAGATGAATGTTTTCTTTCCAGAATACATTGCATGTTGATTGTGTTCAATGTCCAGTGGGTTTTTCTTAATTTTGAACAGGTGTTGTGTTTGGTCACAATCTCCATATCTTATATCTTCTTTTGTTATGTGGTAAGCATGATGGAGTATTGGATCAACTGACAATAAGAGATCTTTATACTTGATGAGAAATTCTTTGGAGCATAATCCATTTTTGGTGATAATTGTTGTATCACACACTACTTGAACTGATTTTAATTCTGTACAAGTATTTAAGGTTGTTAGATCACCAAGCCATGTACTGTGCATTCCATGCTTAGATCCGAGTATTGATGGTAGTTGAGGTGCCAATGGTGTGAGTAATGCTACCATCTTGTTTCTCATAATGAATTCTTTGCATAGAAGTTGTGATACTTGTTTGAAAACTGTTTGTAAATTTTGGAAATTTTTATCAATGTTATTTAATAAAGCAGATGTTTGAATAGCATCTGCTATGTCTATTTTGTGAAATTTTGTTTTTTTTTGAGTTCAAAATCTTCTGCTTTTGCCATTCTAGCAGGTTCCATTTTGGTTGTTTTCAACATTTTGAGTATGTATTTGTTGTTAATATCCCATATATCAGGTGAGATTATTTCTCTGACCATCCAGGTCCTAACCAGTGGTGTTACATGATTTTTGATCAGCATATGATAAGTCTTGTCACCATCTCTATACCAATCATTATAGGTTAGTATATTTTGTATTTCTGTATTATTTGCTTTTCTCAAAGTTGATTTCTTTCCATCATAATTCTGCAATCTTGCAACTTCTTTGTTTGAAATGATTTTATATTTGATATCTGCCATCATTCTGTTATCAGCATAATTTGAATTTGTAAGATCAGTTCTTAATAAGTTGTATTCCTTCTGGGGTACTAAAATTCTTGTTCCAGGACCACCATATCCTTTGATATATCTATCTTGATAAGGTAAATCCATTATTGCATAGTTGGGACATGAAAAATATCCTCCAAGATTAATGCACTCTACATTGTAGGATACTGCTTTCCATGGGGATTCATGACCAAGGAGATTTTGTCCTTTCTGAGGATTGAAAATAATAATGGAATCCAGAGTTCTACAAAATTTATGTTTGATAGAACAGTCCTCTAAATATTCCAAGTTGGTTGTTATCTTATCCTGACTTGGGTGCCAATAAGCTTTGCCAATTTGGAGAATTGTTGTAAATTCTTCAACCACTGTTGTTATGGCCATTTGTAGTTTGATCCTTTGTTTTCATTGTACATTAGAAGGTTTCCTTTTTCAATGAGTTTTTGTCCATTTAAGGTCTTTTTTGACAATAACATTTTTCTGCATTGTTTGTCACTTAAGGTAAGTGTTTGTTTTTCAA